TAACACTTGGTACCAAATCCGAAGAGAGAAGAAGCTTACTGCAAGAGGGCAGGCTTGGGAAGAATTTGTGACTCCTAGGATTCTATCAGGAAGGCAGAGGACTGCAAAAAAGGAGGCCAGTGGTACTCTCCTGTGTCTTTAAGACCCTGCCTGTGATCACCAGAAAAAAATCACCACCAGTTTAGTTGTAGATCTGATGACTTTTATTCATGATTTTAATCATGGAAGCCCCTTTCTACAAACTAGAATGGAAGTGCCCACTGGGCAGCAGCAGAACATGGATTTAAGGAAGTGGGAACAAGGAAACGACAGTAGAGAAAAAGCTGGTTGATGAATGTCCTAGTCCAGCAGTGGTGAACCTGTGACACACATACTACAGCAGGCTGTTTGTTATCATTGAAGGCTCTAAAATGTTCTCCACCCCTGTCCTAGTCCATTTTTCATTGCTGTAAGAAAAATCTCCTTGGCTCATAGTTTTGGGGACTGTAAGTCTGTGAACAGTTGGGTGCACTTGATTGACTTCTGGTGAGAGCATCCTGCTCCACACATGTGGAAAAGCAGACATATAAGTGAGAGTGCAGAGAGAGAGCATGGAGCAAACCTTGTTTTCTGACAGTCCACCCTCACAGTAATTCATCTGGCCCTGTGAGTACCCGCTTCTGCAAAACAGCATTTATCTCTTTATGGAACTCCACTCCCATGATCCGGACACCTTGCATTAGCCCCCACCTCTAAACAAGTTGCCTTGAAGAATTAAGCCTCAGTGTGAGTTTTGGTGGGGACAACCCACATTCAAGCCATAGTAGTTAACTTCAGGTTAGTATTTTTGTGAGTGTCGAAGCATAGGGCCTCCTTGTTATGCTGAACCAGGCTGGTGTGTTAATCTTTCATTGTTTTAACAAATACCTGAGTAACATTTAAAAAGGAGGTTTCAGGAGCTGAAAATTCTGGAGATACCAGAGCATAGTTCTGGTAAGGCCTTGTGGAGAGTGGCATCACAGTGAAGGATTACATGCAGAAGAGCTCACACAAGGAGACAGGCATCTACAAAGAGAGCTGGAAGGGGCCAGTCTGAACACTCTGTTAATCCCTCCTCAGGCAGTGCTCCCCATGGCCTCCTGGTAGACTCACTTTCTAATACCACCACACAAACCCTTGTGGAGACACACCTGTATTGTGTCTAAATTATATCAGCTGGAATCTCCTGTTTTTAGGAAACACTGACCTGTTTTGGGAATTTGGGGGTTACTTCCTTCACCGATATTTTGTTGGGCAAAATATCTGACACCCACAACTTAAGAGATTTCTTTTGACTCATCTTTTCGAAGTTTCATTCGTTGTATGGTTTGCAAGCTCCAAGGTGGGATGGCATGACAGAGGCACATGGCAGAGGAGAGCTGCTCACTGCGTGTAGCTGTGGGGCAGAGAGAGTCAAGGAAGGAGCCAAGAGGGAAGCCCAACCCCCTGGTCATCCCCCCAGTGACCCAGCTCTTCTGACCAGACCCACCTCCTGCCAGCAAACTGGCTATAACGGAAGCCCTCATAAACCAGTCATCTTTCAAAGGCCTCACCTATGCATGCATTACTTTTTGAGTGACGTCTAGTTATAAATCATAACAATGTCCGTAAAGTTTCAGTTTGATTATGTGGCAGTTAGCAGGAATGACTCCATTCTCCTTTGGCACAGTCAGTAGGGGCCTGGTGCAGAAGCTCAGTCTGAAACAGTGCGCCCCGCGCAAACTTGTAGTAATACAGGGGAACGAAACTCCCAACCTACTAGATGTCCGGTATGAGTTGGTGTTCTCTAAAATGGAAGAGTGAATTTTAGGAACAGCAGAGGTTAAGAGCAAAATATATTTATTGAGAGAAAGTTTCTGTCTGAGAGAGAAAGTGAGTGGTTTTGTGTGGGTCCAGATGGGGTTGCCTAGGATCCTGCCTTTTCCAGGGATTTTTATAGAGCAAAACTATGAGGTGAGGTGGGTCCATGGTGGCAAGCGATAGGAACTTGCAAAGCAGTTGAGCATGAGGTGTGACAGAACTGGTCAACCAATAAGTTTACAAGTGTAATTGCTCAGTAAAATTGATTAAATTGAGATTAGATGGGGAGGTGAGTCTCGTACCAAGTGGGTATTGAATACTGAAGAGGGTCTTTGCTGGTTAGGGTTTGGGTTAATGACTCCTGGCTTCCTCAAGGTGATTGAGTTACTTACAATGTCACTCCCTGATGTTCATGCTTAGGGTGTGGCTGCATTTGTTTTGCCTTTTGTCTTGAGATCTGGCCCTCAGCAGAGGTGTCTTCTCCAAGATTGCAAGGTAGCTGGTCTTCTGCACTGGCTCCTTCGAAGGTCCAGTCCTGTCTGACTGCCTTATGTCTGACTCTGTTGCCTGTAACAGTAGTTAATAGTGGGGCTGGAGATTTAGCTCAGTGGCATAAGTGCCTGCCTTGCAAGCCTGTGGTCGTGAGTTCAATCCCTGGTACTGGGAAAAATACAAAAAAAAGAAAAAAAAAAAAAAACCAAAACAGTAGTTAACAAGAGTGAAGGAGTAGGAATCTGTTGGAGCTGAAGGGGACAGGAGTCCAAGCTGCACCGACATTGGACATAGGTGTCCTGCCCTTGGGTTATTGAGCGAGTCCCAGATTATGTTCCTCTTCCTGAATTCTTTAATGGTGAATTCACCCTCGTCTCGGAGATCCAGTCTAGAATCCTCATGCTTTGTGTGCTCATCTCCTTCTGCCTACCCCTGCTTAATCCTGTGTCACAGGCTGTTGAGTCTTGCCTGGCAGTTTTCAAATTGGAAACGTTTTTCATTACCAGTGCCACTTACATTGCTCTCACCAGGCATCAATTAGCTGTTCTCCAAATCCACCCATCGTTCCTCACTTTTATTCTTCCTTGCTAGTACATCTATCTATCCCAGCAAGAGTGTTCTTCCTGAAGCAGAGCTTTGCTCATGTTATTCTTCTGCTAAAAATAAAACCAGATTTTGCAGCTCAACACCGAAAACTCTACTTTTTTTACCGGCAATACTTTACCTTCACCCAGCCTGCTGCTGTGAAGTACTTGCTTGAGGATAAACCATTGGTCAAGCACATGGCCAGCCCCTTTGGCCTCCGTGCCTTCTCTCACTGCTGCCTCTGCCACTCTTAAATCTTCCGCTTTCCTGATGCTTACTGTGCTAACAAATGGTGCTGTCCGCCTTATGCTGGTGAACCCTCGATGCTGGTGGTGCTTCTGTGCTTTACTTGATCACTACTTCTTACGTTCCATGACACCAAGTTTTACTCTCTACCAGTTATCTATGTGTTCACTATCTCCACCACTCTTCCTTCTTAGGAATTGAGTCCAAGGATAACTTAATTACATTACTTAATTTCATGACCAGTTGTGTAGTTTGAGAGTCCTGATGCATCAAAAGACAAAGCCCAAAAGAGATTCTGCTAGGCTTACTTGATAGGGAGAGAGGGTTGGCTCCTAGGGAGAGGCAGCATTTCCCTCCTCCTCCACCCAGCAGTTACTCATAATTAACAGGCACTGCAGCCCTCCTTTTAATGGTGGTTGGGATTTGGGGTGGGGTTGGAGAATAGTATATGTGAAATGATTCTATTTTCCCTGTCTAAACCTAGAGGTGCTTGTTTAGAGATTTTGCTTATGGTCACATTTTGAAAGAGCTCACTGAAGACTAATCAGAGAAAAAGAATTATGCTTTAGAGTAGTGAATCGAGTGTTGTGTTTACTCTTAGCTCCCTGTCTATGTCTTTAGGGAATTGTTACCCTGAGGGCATCAATAAGGAGGAATTAAAGGTCTTTGCAGAATTCTCTTATGTTGGTTTTGGCTTTCATCCCGTGATTGGAGTCTAGAGTAGATTTTAAGGATCTTTAATTTGTACCTGACCAGGCTTGTAAATACGAAGCTGACTGTTGGGTGAAGGAAACTAATTACACAGTCCTTTGAACAGATGAAACTGAAAATTACTTTCTCGTTCATAGTTTATGAACTCTGGTGCTGGAAAATTATAAAAAATATTTTTAGGAAAAGGAGGAGTGGGATGACCATCTGATTTAAGAACTTTCATGTTAGCTGTTGCAAGAACATTATCTGCTTGGCCTTTTAGTAGGCATCATGCCAGCCCAACTACCAGCTGTGAATTGTAGTCAACTATTTTGGAACATAAGGGGTATTGTAATTAGGAATGTAGAATACTGATTGGCAAATTCAGAACAATTCCAGATTTTTAGTAAAACTTATCGTGCAAGTAAAAGATAAATGTCTTACAGTTTGAGTAGGATAACAGGCCTTTAGTAAAGAAACATCTCTTCAAAACTACTTTTTATAATATTAATTCTGAGAAAAAATATTACAAAATGATAAGGGAAAATCTGAAAACAATTTGCCTTTGCTTCTTTGTCACAAACTGTTTATTTTATGATTGATCATCTGTGTTTCTGTGCCATACATTTCCCTAGGAAGCTTTGCCTTTGAGCACCCTAATTAACATTGACAAAATAAACAGAAGATTCCTGGAGGCAATGTCCTTTGGTGACAGGATGAGTTGTGGATCTCAAGTCTTTGATATGTGCTTTTCCCTTTTCTTCTTTGCTGTTGAGAGAGGAAATAACTACACCTGTTCTGGATAATTTTAATTAAAATCTTAAAGTCTATTACTTCAGCATTTATTAGTGGAGGGAAAATTGCATTAAGTATTTTTATAAAATTCTATGAGATGATTCATAACTGACATTAAAATGTTTTCTATTTTCTTACAGTGTGTTAATAATATGAATTTGGTCAAATTTTTAGTCATTTATAGGTAATAACATGAATGAGTATAATTGCCTTAGGCTAATTGTATTGGTAGTTTAACAAAGCATAATTGATATAAGTATTAAGAACTACCAGTCTGGGCATTTTAAAGTACATACATTTTTGTTAAAACCTAATAGCAGTTTCCACTGGGAATATATTATTTTAAATTTGCATTTTCTCTTTTTCCCTTACAGGAAGGAGCTTGAAGCCTTCAAAGGTAATTTTATGTTTAATTTTTCACTTTAAAGTTGTTGAGAGTTAATTGATGTCAGATGTTCTCTCTTGATGTTGCAAAGAGAAATCATTCTTTTTCTTTAAACCAAACATTTTTCATCAAAAAGTAGAAGTTTAATACTATTTTTGTAGGTTTTATTTAACATGATGGTTTTGATACTTTCTTTTCACTGATGCACACATACTAATGAAGAGTTTCTGCTAATGACCATCATAGTTGTATGTTAGGAAGACCTGGTGCTAAGTTTGAGGTTGTGGAGGGTCAGTTGGAGAAGACTGCACTTTCTGTTGTGCAGAGTCTGAGTCAGCTGGGGAGGAGGTGGTGGGTAAAGGTCAGTGTGTACCCTGCAGTGAGTCCCACAGGCCTGGTACTTCCTGCAGGTTCCTGTGCTGGATCCTGCTCTGGCCCGATCTTGTGACTTTGATGTGTGTATGTGTGTATGTTGGTTGGTTGGTTTGTTTTTATGAGAAGGGTCTTACTATATATAGTACAGGCTGACCTTGGACTCACAGTGGTCTTTCTGCCTCAGTGTCCCAGGTGCTGGGATCCTACACATGTGCCAACATACCAACCTATCGGGCGACTTTGATGAGTGTTTACCTTTTTATGCTCATTTTCCCCATCTGTAATAGTGGAGAGTCTAATTAAATATATTCTGAAATACGAATGTATTTTAATTTCAGGGAGCCACTGGAGAATCATTCTTGATCAGGTTGGTTCCTATTGGTGAAATATTAATGAAAAGTAGAAAATCTGCAAACTTCCCAGCAGATTGAGATACCTCCAGTGTGCTGTTTGTTTGTTTTTTAGTTAGTGGCAATTAAGTAGTAAAAGCATTGTTCTCAGATTTGTTCTAACAACCAAGAAGACTTTAAATTGGTTATTAAATCACTTCTGATTTGATTTATGGTTATTATATTTTATATAAACTAGCAGTGACCTTTACAGTTAGTGATGGGTAGAAGATTTTCCAGTAAAATATTTTGTCTTAGTTTTTTCTTGCTGGGAAAAAATACCCAACACCCAAAGTTAAAGGAGGAAAGGTTTATTTAGCTCACAGTTTGTAGAGGTTTCAGTCCATACTTGCCTGGCTCCAAGGTAGGGTGGTGTGGCATTGCAGAGGAGAAACAGTTCACGGCAGGCAGAAAGTAGCAAAGCAAGCAAGCAGCAGCCAATCACAGCTTTTTCTATCTCTTGTATCTTATCCAAGCTACTTAGGTGGTAGCACTCATACCCTTAATTCTAGTGCTCTTGATCCTGGCATTGCACCATGAATCAGTGCCAGCATCACACTCTCTAGATCCAGCCACTTCTGAAAAAGCCCCACTTATGACTGCCTGAGGCTTTGGTGGGGAGCATCTAGACACAGTCCTAACACATTCTGGTTGAATTGTCCATGTGTCTGATCTGTTCAGATGTTTTAGAACAATATTATTTCAGGATGAGAAGTATAAAGGAATTTTCCTGTGATGGGTATAATTGAATAGACTTTGTTTTAGCTAGATTTCACTTTGACTCACTGCAGCCAGAGTAAATGATTAAACCAGTGATCAGTTTGTTGAGGGTAATGTTAAATGATCATGTGATATTAATTCAGTTTGTGAATCACTATTCATGAACATTGTTTTTCATCAGTTGTTTAAAATTTGAGATCCTCATAAAATGCTCTTTTTTCCTCTTGTTCTTGCTTTTGGTTGACTAGTATCTTATTTTACAGTAAGAGACAGAAAAAAAGCAGTCAAGTTAATATTAAAAGACAGGCAGGGGCACACATTATGTAAAATGTCAGCTTTACTTGCATCTCAGTGCTGAAGAATTCTTTTTTTAGTATGATGATATTCACAGAAGAGACTAGCAGTCTGCAAAAAGAGCTAGTGTTGCATAATTACTTGATAAATAATTCAATTTAGGTTGATACATGTTGTTTATAAACACATTTCTTACTATGTGCAATATATAGCAGCATATCAGATCTACCCACAGGCCAATTTAAACTCTGATTTGAGCAAACCCTACATTGAATTGCTGAATGTGGTGGTACACACCTGTAATCCCAGCAGTAATCCAGGCAGCTGAGGCAGGAGGATTGAGTTCACGGCCAGCCTGAGACCTTGTTTCAAAAAACCTAAAAAACTCTAAATTGAGTATTACATCATATCAGACCTTTTGTATCTGTGTTTATTAAAAGTTGTTTTCTCCTAACTCTTGATACAGTGGCATGTGCTTTAATCCCAGCTACTTGGGAGCTAAAGCATGAAGATCACTGAGTCCAATTCAGTGCCAGCCTAAGTAATGTGGCAAGACCCTGTTTGCTTTAGAATATTTTGTTAATATTTCAAAGCATAAGTAGCCCTGTAGCAACAAGATTACAAATTTAATTGCTCTTACAAAGTATTAATGGAGGAAAAAAGATTTAAAAATTCATTGAAGCATACTATAACTAATTTTTTAGTGTTATCTTTGCAGTACTGGGATTAAAATCAAAGCCTTTACTCTGAACATGTCCTCAGTTCCTTTTTTATCTCTGAGACACAGATATTGACTGCTTGCTTGGTAGAGAGAGATGGGATCTTACTGTATAGTTCAGGCTGGCTTTGAATTCACTGTAAAGCCCATGTTGGCCTCGAGCTTCCAGTGATCCTCCTGTTTCAGCCCTCTGAGTGCTGGGATTACAGGTGTGCCCCTCCATGTCTGGCCCTACAGTTTTCTTATTTTTGAACATTGCCTTTATTTTTCCTTTTTTAGGTCACATGAAAATAAAAAGATGTTACCTCCTTCAATTACTTTATTCAACTTGTAGTTGTTTTCAGACCCTTTTTTTATACAGGGGAAAAACTCACTTCGGGACTAAAACACAAAATTAGAAACCCTCAACCTTAGTAATATAGGTCAGTATCATTCACAAAGTTGTGGATTCTCTTTTCTATATTCCACTTAGTCAAGTAAGTTTGCCTTTCACTCTGCTATGTAAGATAAATCCCTGCAGTATTATAAAACCAGATGCGGTTGTTTGGGTAGTAGGAAGGTTTTCAGTGTTCAAGATCACATTCTTTTATATGTTTTAGTAATTGTCACTTGAATAGTAGTAAGAAAAAAATAGGATCTTAAAAGTCTAAATTTTATGTTTTCATTGGAGAAAAAATCACTTTGTAAGCACATGCAGAGGAGATTTTTACCCCCTTAAAGGTCCTTAACTTTAGAGGATATCAGCCTGTGTAGATACGCCTGTTATTTGGAAATTATAAATTTTTTTTGTGTCCTGGAGCAGTGACATTGCAGGGCTGGGGAGAGACAAACATTTGAAACATTTCTGTCACTTACATTGTGTGCAGCCAGTGGAGGTCACAGGACCCTGCTGCCAGCTACTGCCTGAGTCCCTGTGGCCAGGGTGGGAGAGCAGGCTTGTCACTTGTCGTGACACCACTGTTGACCAATGCATGCTACTTTTTGGGTGCAGTTTTATGTTCATGGCTACCTTTTCCTCTTGTGAGCTTTGGTGACTGTGGAGCTCCTTCAGTGACACATGGTGGTCTGGGAACCAAATGGAAGGGTTGGCCGTGACCTGAGGTCCCCTGACATGTGTCACCCAGCAGGCCCCCATCACACTGCTTTCAGTAAGCAGGTTGCCATCAGCTGGACTCAACGCTACATTGCGTTTTTAAAACTGAATTTGTGGGCTGGGGATTTAGCTCAGCCGCATAAGCGCTGGCAAGTGCGAGGTTGTGAGTTCAATCCCCGGTACCACCAAAAACAAAACACAAAACAAAACAAAACAAAACAAAAAAAACTGTATTTGCTTCCAAGACAATAAAACCTTACTTTTTGGGGAAAAAAATCATTTTTGCACTCTTAATTTTTTTTTTTTTTTTTTTTTTTTTTTTTTTTGGTGGTATTGGGGATTAAACTCGTGACCTTGAACTATGCCACTGCCCCCATTGCTGTTATGGTTCATACATTGTGTCAACTTGAGAAGTTTAGAAGTTTAACTGAAAGACTCAGCAAGGAGCCAGGGTTGGTTCTTTGTAAATATCCTCATCGTGTGCAAAGGAGGGCAAGGAAATTTTGTGAGTACTATATAGACCGTGGGGAAAGTGGCGTGGCCTGCCTACACTGTAAGGGAGGAAAAGAGGCTTGCTCTTCCTCCCTTGTGTAGTGCCTTCCTCTTAGTCACCGTTCTTACTGACACGACAGGCTAAATGCTTGGGTCTGATAGGCTACTGGCCAGTATTCCCCAAATCTTGTTTCTGTTAGTTGAGTTGAATGCTGACCCAGAGTGCATAGTGTTGACTCACAAAAGCATTTATTATAAAATGCAAAATAATCAAATATGTCATTAGAACTGTAATAACATGAAGTTGAGAGCTTTGGAAAACTGCATAGAGAAATAGCTTTTCAAATTTGCTGCATAAGGTATAGCTAAGAATTAGGAAAGATATGGGAAAAATAATTTTAAAAATTCTGAAAGATTCTGGGTGTGTGTCTCCTAAATATATCTCTTATATATATATTTCATATATATATATATATTTCCCAAATTTCTGCTCTGTTTTATATAAGACTGAAAATTTCTTCCAATGCAGTGTGGATTCGGTCATTTGATCCATGCTCAAAGAATTTGTGAATAGAGCTGTGGTTATATTTTTTAAAAATTTTATTTAAAGAAATAAAAGAAGAGAAAATTAAAAAAATAAAATAAAAAAACAAGAAAAAAGTAGAATACAGAATTAAAAAAATTAACATCATAAAATCGCTAGTTGATACATTACATATTGTCATCTTAACAGTAGTTGTTAAAGTTACAAAATTAAAGCATAAGAAGTGTCTAGGCACTCAGACATTGATAGCGCAATCTCTTCTGTTCAATGATCTAACAGAAATTTAGTAATATGGTCATCTGTCTTACACTCTATACATACTGTTATATCCTTTAGAGCACTTTCCTTCCTTTTCACTTTTACAATATTTGTTATACTTTTTGGATC